TGGGTGAGCACATGTGTCTTTCTTCAGAATTTCTGATTTATACCATGTCATACAGTTAGTTTGAAGCTTTAAAGTTCTGACTGGTTTTATGTGGCATCAAATCTGATGCTCACTCATCTCCTTGGTGAAGGAGAGGAGTGTGAGAAACCAGAGACTTCCACGTGAAGTGTCCCCTGCCAGTGGAGCTAATGACTGCAGCACCGTGTAAAACTCCACAGAAGTAACCCGTGGTTTCCTCCCTTTGGAGCTGTATTGGCCAGTGGGTGGATTAGCTGTCCTGTACAGCACATTGGGCTTCTTGCCATCTTGAGTCATTTTAGACATTTAATATAAGCCTGTAGTTTTGGTTCGTTTTATGTGTAGGGGTTTTTTTTTTTTTGGTGTGTCTAACTTATACATTTTTTCCTACTAGAACACTGCTCTGTCTGTCCTGCTGGCTGCCTTCAATTTTGCTGGTGATGTTCTGGAGGCAGAACTTCAGGCATCTGTCTTGGGAGTGCTTGGTCAGTTCTGGACTTCTCTCCAGGCCAAACAGGTAAGAGAATTTGCAGCCCATATGGTGAAAGCAGGGTATCTTTGAGAAGAAGCTGGTGCTGTTTCATCATGTGTTTGTTATTAAGTTGTTTTACTTGGATGGGGCCGTTGCTGTGAAGCAGGCTGTTAACTGTGCTGCCCATCTGCTGCCCAGGGAAGTGATACAGGCACCATCCCTGGAAGTATTAAAAAGACGGGTTGACATAGTGCTTGGTGACATGGTTTGGTGATGGTTTGTATCAGAGTTAGGTTGATGGTTGGACTAGATGATCTTAAACATCCCTTCCAATCGAGACAATTCGATGATTCGAAAAATGGCTCCCTGTTACTCCATCTGTTACTCGGTGTCATTCAGACTTGCTTAAGGGAAGTCAGAAATACCTCATTCTGATTAATACCAGTTACAAATTTGGCCTGTTTTGAATGTTCATTAGAATATGAACGAAACCCATGGTGATTTAAGTATTATATAGCTCAGTATAACCGGTGGAGCTAGTAAACTTCCTCCTGTATCTGAGAAGCAGGGGGTAAGGTGGTTCCCTTGTGGCTGAATGCTTCTTCATGTCTGCAGCTGCAGTAAAGAAAAAAGGATCTTCATGGGTCATATTCCAGATGAAAAGTTTGAGAGTGGGGGCAAAGAAAAGCCAACGATGTGCCCCTTCAGGGTCTTTTCCAACCTCAGCCATTCTGTAACCACATTTGACCACGGAAGTGAAAAGAAATAGTTCGGATAACCCTTAGCTGCTTATATTAGTGAGTGGTGGAAAGGAGATGAGGGATAAGAAATATTCTTAATAAAAATCAAAGAAAAAGGTCTTGTAAAACATGACTACCTAAAAATACTGCTATGACTATTCTAATGTTTTATCCTGTTGTGGTGTTTTATGTCTGTGAAGTTAGGCTAAACATTTTGGAACACTACTATAACTTAATTTCTTTCTTAAGTAGCTTTTCCATAAGCTAAAATACAGTGTTACTAATACCTTTTGATCTGTTGAAGGTTTCAGAACAGCCAATTCTCCAGCAGACCCTGTGTTTATTACTTCACCTTTTGGAATTTTTCATCCAAGGATTAGATGCTGAACTGACTACTCAGGTAAAAAAAACAAAAACCAAAACCAAACAAACAAAACCCCCAAACCAACAGCAACAACAAAAAAATAGCCCAAAATCAAATACGAAACAAACACAAAAACCAACAAAAAAAACCCAACCCAAAACCTTGGTATGAATAATTTACTTCATGAAAACCAAGTTCTTTGGGATTTACTGAAATCTCAAATGAGTTATTTTATGGTCTGGCCTTAACACATGGAGGTTCCTAATTTTATCTCTTCGGTGATTACTTTACTGGTATTTAAACCAAGTATATGGCACTTTGGTTATCATTGCTTTTGAGAATCTCATTACTTTGTCCAGATAATTGAGACACATGGATGTGCTACAGGGCACGCTTATTTCTCTCTGAAGTGCACACTGCAGCTTTGTCCTAGCCAGTTTTATTCAAGGTGTAAAAAACTTCCTTGTTTCGAGTCCAGTTTTTGAAAATCAGTGTCCCTAGATTTGAAGAGATGAGTTTTCACCTGCCACCTCTTTGATGGAGCTTCACTGGGGTTTGTTTTCTGCAGGTATTTGCACTGCAGTCTTCCCTTTTCCAGTTGGATCCCCCAGATCACGTTCGTCTAGCAATGGTGGATTTTCTCTCTTCTATGGGAAAGATGTTTATACCACAAGAAGCACAGGTAAATGTAATTCTGGCCTTATTTAGAGAATCTTCATGATAGATAATCATGAAAATATATGCTATTTATTTGAAGTTAAAGGATCAAGTTCATCATATACATACAGGATTGCCATGACAGAATAATCTTGAAGACTTACTAATGGTCTATGGCAGTTTTATTTTTCACTGAGACGTGCTGAATGCACGTAAGATGTTGGCTTATTCATCTGCTTGTTGCTTCTTACGAGTTAGAAAAGACTGACATTTGAACCTCCAAGGAGAAAGAATAGAATGTCACCTCCCTTACAGTGTATTTCTGCCATCCAGGGCAGTAGTATTTTACAAACTTCTCCCTTGACCTGAGAGCAATTCTTTAGCAATGAATCGTGATGGTCAGATGTGCACAACTGACTCTTTGGGACTGATGGATGTTTGCTCCTCTTTCAGAGGCAAGTTGTACCCCGGTTGTCGTGTTTGTTTGCTTCTCTGCTGGCTGACCACACCTGGCTGATCCATCAGCACGCACTGGAGGCATTCACACATTTTGCAGAAGTAAGCACAGCTCGGGATGCCTCTATTTGGCTCTGTTAACTTTTATTGTACAGATGTTTTTCTGTCTTAAATGTTTGCTGCTCTTCGCTGGCCAATTTGGATGTTAGTATTACAGATGCTACTGCACAGCAAAAGTAATGGTGGCTAATGCAGTTGTAAGTGATGTCGGGTGCTGGAAGTGAAGGAAGATGGTTGCTTAGACTGGTTGCAGCAGGGAAGGAACTGTCACAGAAAGGTTTTTTACATTGTCTATTTGTTTGTTAATATGAATGTACTAAACAACTATTACTCAACATTTTTGACAGGAAACAAGCCATGAAGATGTTGTTCCTCAGTGCCTTAATTCTGAAGAAACTAAGAACAAAGTTGTTACTTTTCTGGCTAAGGTATGTTTTGAACCATTTCGCTGCTTTCTCAGTTGATGTTGTACACGTCTGTTGTAAGCACTACAAACTCTATGTCTACACCTGCATGGTGATTAGATAAGTTTAAAACTTATAATTCTGTTAACTGGGATCTGGATGAACTTTTCTACTTGCTTTAATCTGCAGAATTAACAGCTACCATTCCTATGCACACTGGTCTTTCAGTACTTCCCAACTTTGATTTAAATGCTTTGCTTTTCCCTCCTTGAACAAATTAAAAAAAAAAAAAAAGGTTATGTTGCAGAGTTATTGTAAGCAGAGAAGTTACCTATTAAAAAGACAGGGATTTCCTTGTTTGTTTTGTGTGATTTCTTTCCCTATTTCTCTTGGATCAGTTTCTGAAAGCTAAATGAATGTGTACGAAACATCTTAAGTCCTTTTTGCATGTAAGAAGACAATTCTTTTAAGAGCATTCTCTGTTCTGCTATTCCTGCAGAACAGAGACAATGGGAAAGAGGGGGTGGTTATCATGCTGTAACCTAAGGCAGGGTTATCTGGATGTGTGGTTTTTGACATGCAGATAATTAGGAAAAGAACTGATAGCTGCCCGTGCTGCTACACCAAAGCTGTAGATAACTTCAATCTCCTGCTCAGAAGAGCGCATGAGGAAATTAGATTCACTTTGAACTGCATGTTAAGATCTCTTTCTCCCTCCCCTTTGTTCTGGTGTATAAATTGAGCCTCTGGAGGCTGGTAATGCTGCCTTGGTCTAGTTACCTCACCTGTGGCTTTCTCCCTAGACGAGGCAAGCAGAAGAGACAACAGAAGCACGAATAGAACGCATGAAACAAGAAAGGATAACCTGCAATGCACAGTTCGTGAAAAAGGATGGAGACCTGGAGTCAACAGGAGAGGTATGTGACTTCTTTAAACTATCTGGGTTTTGTTGTTGATTTCTGTCAGAAGTATCTGAAGAGGTTCTTCCTGCCCTCCATGTTCTAAGAAAAAAGCTCACGTGCACTCCTGGCCCATAATATTGTATGTGAATGCTCTGTACTGCCTGCCAGCCGGCAAGAAGTCTCACAGGGCAAGGGAGTCTCTTGCAGCTCTTCTCCATCTAAGGGTTTTCTTGCATTTGGATGAAGACCGATCACTTCTGTAGAACATTATAAATGATGTCTCCTGTTTACTTAAATCTGCAGCCTCTGGCAAAAAGAGCGTGTCACCCACCTTCTGAGGAGCAGTATAAGTCAGCAGTAGGCACCATGGAGGGGGCAGTGGAGGCTGTGAAGCTGCTGCTCCGGAAAGGGTCACCCCCTGCTTGGCTTGCAGTGAAACTGGAGGCTCTCCATACAGCTATAGCCATCCTCAGAGACAGCGTACGGTAAGGCAATCAACAGTTTTAGAGACAATAAAACAGCTCCCTGCTCTGAGGGATGAGATGCCTTTGTACCATGATTGCTGGAGAAGAAAAACCTGTGGCACAGGGCGCTGCTCTGCTGTACTGCTGGGTCTCGGTTAATGTGCCAAAATGAACTGGGGTGTGAGATGCTGGCCTGTCATAATAACTGACTGGAAGGACTGAGAGATTTTAATGGACACTACTGTGCATCTGAACTGCCATTTTGTATATTGCCAATGTATAGCTCGCTCTTCTGAGCTACTGTATGGTGATAAATATTTCATGATCTTGTATTTTGAATTCTAAGATGTTTGAATCTATTGTAAAAGTAACAGTTACCTTTGTTCCTGTCATGTACAGGTGACCAGGCAATAGGTGTTTTTATCTTAATTTTAAAATATACTTAAGAATAACAACTTAAGGCTCTACGCTGTTCTCTGAACATACCTCTGCTGTTGGTTCCACTCCACGCTAGGGTCATCTTTTAAGGTGATCTTTATTAGTCACCATTTAAAGCAGAAAGAATGCAGTGCTTAAGCAGCTGGTGTTCAGTGGTCCTTCACTGCACGGTTCCTAGTACCTCTTGTGCCACTGACTGACAGAACTATATAAAAAGAAATAAATAAGTTGAGTAAAAACTGCACGTTCATCTTAAAATCATCTCTTAGCTAAAAAGTTAAAAAGGAGCCATTTGTAAGGGCTCTACTTTTCTGGGGGGAAAAAAAAAAAACAAAAGCAAAAGGGCACATTAACCAAGGAACTCAGTGTGACTTTCATTTATTGTCATCAGTTTTTCAGAGCAGGGATGAGTTGTGGAACAATCGCTTACGCCGCTCTTGGCCTCCAGTAGCACGTCAGCACCAACACCCCCATCACGCTGTTCCTCTCTCTGGTAGCAGTGGCACGTACCACAGCTGGGCATATTGCTTGAGTGCAGGCCTCACCCCTGCAGGTTTTGGCACAGACTGGAAAGGAGCATCCATTGCAAGAGATCAGGCCCCACGGGATCTTGCTGCCCGCTGCAGCAAGCGCCTGCTTTCTGGCAAAAGCAGTGCTGAGGTACTTATCCATTGTACTGGGGAAGCAGATTGCCTCTGTCTCTTTCAGTCCTGTTACCAGTTAGCATCATCTTCCCAGTTCAACTCCTCTTCTTCACCCCAGCCTGCAGCTTCAGCCTAGAATGATGTAAAATTATCAACAGTAAGACACGTGTACTGTATTTCTGTACTTAGCACAGCCACAGGAGCCAAGCAGTAGCCTGTGTGGCTTGCAATGGCACAGCAAGACATTCAGCCAGAATGCCAAAAGCCTGTCCTAAGACCAAAAATGAAGTGCCAGTTTTTGCAGTGTTCTGTCTTAAAGAACTTTTAACTACAAAAGGCAACACCTTAAAGACAACAGCAAACTAATAGGGAGAGTCTCTTATTAAAGCAAGAACTGTTTGTACCAAACTCACTTTCCATTAAGAACAGGATGCTGTGAACTAGATCATTTCTTTCCCCCTAGGAAACAGCTGCTGTCCTGCTCTGTTCCAATACTATGACTCTGATTTCACCCATCCACTGACACAGCTCTTCTACTCCACAGCACTGACTGACTCCTCAAAAAATGGGCTTGATACCACAACAGCGCTTTTTAAAAAATCAAGTGTGCCATTTTAAAATGTCATAAACAACTTCAGTTTACATCCAAGGCTCCTCTCCCCATGCTACCTGCTGCTCCTGGGGTAGCTCCCTTGAGGCTGAATTAGCAAAACAACTCGAAATCAACACCTATTCCCTAATGGAATTACATGTTCAGGTGGCAGGGTTGGGAGTGCTACTTCCCCTCCTAAGAAACAGAGGCAGTCTCTGTGATGAGGCTAGAGGGATTTACTTGCTTACTTAAAAAGGCAGTTTTATAATCCTCCTTGTTCTCTGAAATGGAGAAATAGCTATTCTTTCACAAAAACAAGCACCCAGAAAGCTTTATTCTGTAATCCAGAGTTCTGGTTTCCTGGTCCTGTATTTAGGTTTTCCTAGAAGAGCCAGGAGCATCCTGGCAGACTCCTGAGCATCCTCTGTGCTTGAAAGCCCCTTCAGTTTGTGCACGGGGCCGTTCAGCAGACAGGATCCAGCCTCATTTTACCTGTCCGATAAATCAAGTCTCTTCCAAGTCTCCCTATCTTTGCATCTGGGATACAACAGCACTAATTAAAAACTGCAGTTAAAACTCCTTAGTCGGTGCCTTTAGTAGTGTTTACAAGACCATTCCCTCTCTGTTTCTTAACACAGTTCTCTTGCTGCTGTATTAACAGCCCACTGAACTACCTGGTGAGATGCATCAGTTGGAGCAGAGCCCCTTGTATTCACAGGTGAAGACTCAACTGTACAGTCATGCTGCTAACACTTCCTCAGGTTACCCACCACCTACACCGTGTGTTGTGCTATGTAGTGTGCAGTCATTTAAACCCCATTTAGCCTCCTACCTCAATAACATCAGCCGCTGCAAATTTGGATGAAAACAGCACATTCTGGGAGGCACCTTCTCTGCTGGACACTACACCGGAGTGGCTGGGAACAACTGCTTCTGTCCTCTCTTCAGGTAAAATCAAGACAGCTGAAGAAGGTTTAATGTCCGGGATCATGTCAGCAAACCAGTCCAGCTCAGGGTCTTGCACAGGTTTCCTCTTCACTTTGATTGTGAATTCTTCTCCCAGGCCAGACTCTGATGAAGACTTCAACCTTTCCTGGAAGGTTGTTTTTGGCAGCACAGTTCCTCCCGGTTGTTCCTGGTGGTCCCACTCGTCGTTGCTCCAGCTGTTCCCGGGGCAGGACTTTGGGGGGGGACTCAGTCTGAGGCTTTTGAATTCTTTGCCGAGTTGATGGGTACCTGGCAGAGGCCTTGGTGTTTCAACCGCATCAGTTTGTGTCACAGTGAGGCAGTTCCCTGAAGACCGTTCAGGACTAGGGCTGCTGGGCTCAAAGTCATCCCAAGGCTTCTCATCTACAGCAGGTTCAGCAAAATAAGGTCCCACACTGCCCCGCGGCTCTCGGGGCCGAATTTGAATGTTTACTGTTTTCTCAGTGTCTGTCTCCTCTGGCTCACTCCAGTCTGGCCACTCCTCTGCTGGCTTTTCAGAAGTAGTCAAAGAGCTCCTGCTGCTCCCTAGTGTATTAATGCTCCCAGGAATCCCATTCAGGGGGCACGGAGCGTCTTGCTCACCTGTGGAAGACAAAGGCTTTAGATACTCCTTTCAAGAGAGCAAGTGCAGAGACAAAGTTGTGCCTAAAACTCCTTGACATCACAGGTAGCACCTGCCATGGAAATAAGCCAGTAATGCTGACTGGAAAGCTGCTTCAGTGCTAAGCTCATCTTGTATCAGAAAGCACGGCCACCTTCCTGCTTGCAAAGGAGCCTTATTCATCTCAAAGCCCCGGGGGCAGTGAAAGCTGACTGCTGATCAGCAATAGGCGACTGAAAAAAGGCCATAAAAGTAAACTGAGCCAGTTCCTGAGGCCAGAGAATGAGCTGACCTATAAATCTACTGTATCTGTCGAGCTATGGGAAGGGTGAAAAAGCACAGCAGAGAACCTGCCGTAAGGAAACAGAAATTCAAGGCTGGCCACCAAGTCACCAGTCCATAGATCAGATTCCCAAATAACTATTACCTAGGAATCCAAGGGTCACACTCTCATTCCTTCACTGTTACATTCCTGGGTTGACTGAATCTTTTAGATCAGCACATTGGAGAAATTAACATCTTTTCAAGCAACGCTTCATTTGTAGAACATTTGATTTCTAAAAAGGAAGAGCTAGGGCTGAGATTTACCTGTCTTCAAAGCCAGGGGATTGTCTTGTCGCACAGCAAACTTCTTGACAGGTACATTTCCAGAGATGGGGAACACACTAGAATGGTTCTTCAAGGGCCGAGAGGTTTGATTTCTCTGATTGCTTACCACGTGGCTGGGGGAGTCTGCAGGGATAAAAGAAAAGAAAAGGCACCAAGTCCACAAGGTGTGTTGTCAGTCTGAGCTGAAACTGCCCACAGCATCGCAACGGTCTTATTTCCAATGCTGACGTGCAATACTGACTGAAGATTGGCACAGCAAGGCAACAGCTGCACCTCTTCAGCTGTAGATTTTTATTTTACAGAATCACAGAATCTAGGTTGGAAGGGACCTTAAAGATCATCTTGTCCAACCGTCAACCTAACTGACAAAAATAGACACCCACACAACAAACAAGGAGCATCATCACTAAACCATACCTCCCAGCACTACATCAACCTGTCTTTTGAACACCTCCAGGGATGGTGCCTCAACCACCTCCCTGGGCAGCCCATTCCAATGGCTGATAACCCTTTCAGTGAAAAATTTTTTCCTAATATCCAGCCTGAACCTCCCCTGGCACAACTTGAGGCCATTTCCTCTTGTCCTGTCGCCTGTGACTTGAGAAAAGAGACCGACCCCCACCTCTCTACAACCTCCTTTCAGGAGTTGTAGAGAGTACTCCTCTGTTCCTGCCACCTGTAGCTCTTGCCAGTACAAAGTTTAGGCCGCTGTAAATGGTCAGGTTTTGCTGATACGTTCTTTCAAGAAATACACAATGAACAAACTGATTATGATCAGATCCTTAAAAACCGCTGTCTGCCACCTGGCTGAATCCAAGATCCCAGCTTCTGTACTGCACACCATCACAAATCCCCTGTTATCTGCCTCCTACAAAAGCACAGCACTGATAGTCACAACAATTCAAAGCATAACCAAACTCACGTGACTACACAAACCCTCTTTTAAGTTTGGGCAGGAGCAAAGCAGCTACAGGAACGAGAGTCTCCACCCTGAAGGCTGTGCCAACAGCCTCCCTCGTATCACAGCTGAAGTGAGGTGGCAATAAATGCCACAACTTTGAAGCAGCACAAGGGAGGTTTGTTTTGCTGGGCCAGTGATAACAACTTGGCAAGCACCTGGTTCCAGTTCATTTTTGGTGATTCACCAGCACCAGGCTCAGCTGTGTGAGGCCCTGTAGCCACCACCCCAGAACAGCGTGGTTTGGGCCAGTGCTACATCTGCTTCCACATGGCTCACCTGTGGGCCCTGCACAAGGACTGCAATTAACACATAAAATTCACCCTTTCCCCGAAGTGCCCTTGATAAAAGGTGCATCCTTTTAGGGGCTTAAGCAAACAGCTTATTAAGCCTCACGTATTCAGCCTCTAGTACTGTTTTTTTGCAGATAATCACTTACATTTAAGGACAAAGGTGGTTTCTTTTGCTGTTTGTCAATAGTTTAATTGGGTCTAATTTTAAATATATTCTGAAAAATAAACCTGGTCTTAGCATGCAATCCAAAGGTTTTTATTTACTATAGCCTACTAAAATAATGTAAAGCAAAATAATGCAATGAGCCATCCACAGATTTTAATAAAGGGTGGTAGCTGTCAGTACACACATCATCAGGAAGAGAACATTTATACTTAAACTAATCTCTATCACGCGTTTCATTTGATATCTATGTGTCTAAAGCAGAACAAATGCTGATTCTTCCCTCCAGTTACAAGCATTCTTAGTTTGAATATCCAGAAAAGCTTTCCCTTAGTACAGCTGGTTCCAAGTTATCTAGCAGGTGCAGGGACTATTTTCTTCATTTGTATTAGCTGAAAAACCTCCTGAGAGCTGAGAAAATAGGGAAGTTCGTATTCCTTTTCCAATCTATGAACAGAAATTGGGGGAACAGGATGAGATTTACTGTTTTTAAAACTGTGAAGGATAGAGGGAATATTAAACAACTATCTGGATAAATACAGAAATCCTTTAGAAGGGCAGTGTAGTTTTTCTGCCAAACGTACACACATTTAATCTCCTTTGCTTACGGAAATTCTTAAACTGAAGATATTTAAAATTTTTCTCCCCACATATTTCCTATATTTAAAATGCTTTTATATAACTCCTCTTATGACATCAATTCTGTATTTGTAAGCAGCCAGCACCAATTTTAGAATTAATGTTTAACTGCAAATTAGCTTCTTTCAATTAACTTGTTACCAGCGAAAGATTAATCATCCAAGAAATTCTGTCTGTCGGTTGGACAGAACGGGCAAGAATCCCAAGAGCACCCTGTCATTTACCTTCTGGGGAGAGATCAGCAGTTTTCATGAAACTTGGTGCAGAGCTTTTGAAAATCTTCGTTCTTTCTCCACCTACAACTACTTCAGGTCCAAGCAGGGAGACGAGAACTGCCAAGCTGTGCAGCGTTATCGCGACGATGGAGTCACTGGTATCTCGAAGGCCCAGCAATACCTACATTGAGAACATGATCATGTTACCAAGAACAGAAAATTCTGCATTTTCACTTCTTTCCCCTTTAAATATTTGCAGCACATTTCACTTCTACAATCTGCCACAGCTCTCAGAAGATACTGGACATTATTGTGTAGCATAAAACTGGCCTTCCACTTCGTGTTACAAGCTAAAGGATCCCAGTGCCTGGTGAGCACTGGACCCTAAAGCCAAGGCACCCTGAGCTCATACCAATCATCCCTCCATTCCTGACAGCTGTGGTGTGAAACAAGGAGTCTCTTGTTGTGAAGCTGCCAGTCAAGGCCAATGGATACCAGCAGAAGTGCTGGGCGTGTGACAGAGGGCATTGGGTTTAACAAAACAGTACTCCAGATCAGGATGGGGTGTAAAGGTTAGGGCTTGCGTGGAAAGGAAGTTGCAAACCATTTGTGGCCAGCACTGCAAGATCCTAACTTTAAGAACCAAGACAACCAGCAGAAAACCCACATTCTAGGATATACCACGTATTGTTTTGCTGTCCTTAACCTGGGGCAATATGATGTTTTTCAGCTCCTCCCGAGAGAACAGTTCTGCGTAGGCGTGAATGTGAGACAGCAACACCATCCGAACGTGCTCCTCGTGAACCTCAAACAGCTTCAGCAGCACAGGGATGACGTGTGTCTGGAACAAGGCTGGGGACAGGAGGCAGCTGGTCTGGTTTTCTCCAATTTGCTCTAGGGAGGAGAGGTGAAGATGGGAAAAGGCTGCTTCAATAACGAGAGACAGCTCACCCAAAAGCTACTCACTGAGAAAACAGCACAGCTGAGATCTACAGTGTCACCCCACTGCCAGGTCTGATTCTTTGGCAGCTGCTTGGGGTGGCAGGAGGAGAGGCAGCAGTGCCAGTGTCCATTGCTCCATGGCAGTGGCTCTGAACACAGAAGTTAAAACAGTCACAGGTGTTGCTTGGCTGAAACACCAGTAGCTGTTTAGGAAAAACTGGAAGAGAGAGGAGGCAAAGAGCATGGCCAAAGATAGCCAGGGATCCAGCAAGATGTGCTGAGCAGCCCTTAGAGAGGAAAGGAGAAGAGACTGAGCACCCTCCCAGGAGAATGAGTGCAGTGGCAGAAGAAAAAAGGTCAGGGAGGGTAGGGGAAAGGCGAGAAGAGGGATATGCTGTGAGCCACCTGTGGTGGGCAGATGGGGTGACACATAAACCTGGGGAACAGCCCAGGCAATTCCCAGTTCTCTTCCCAGCATCAGGAGAGCAGTGGAAAGCTCTGTAAATGGGGAAGCACACAGCTCTCCTTTCCAGTTCTGTACGTTACAGTATTTGTTCTGGTTAAATAAACACCCCCTATTCCCTTAATTCAATGGAACAACCACTCTGTATTCATTTCAAACTTATCAGTAATAATTCCAAAGAGAGAAAGTATTTAAAGGTCACCTTTCTTTGGACCCAGCAGATGAGGAAGAAAACTCTTGACAGCTACAGGTTCTGCAAAGACGAGCTGATTGAGAAGAAGCGGCACCAGCCGTGACGCTATCAGCTCCTCTGACAGGCCAGCCACCCTGTCCAGCAGGAACCTGCATTCCAGGAGAGAACAATTAGTATCAAGGCAGCCTCCTGTGCATTTACAACTGTCTCCCTTAACATCACTTTCCCCTCTTTTTGTGTCTGCCTCATCTCCTAGAGACAAAGTCCCATCGCAGCCTCTGGCTCTGTGCGTGCACTAACCCAGAAGGACAAGGCTTTGCTCCTGCCTGAGGCAAAGAGGACACAAAGTGGGAGCCAGAGACACTGTAAAACCCACAGCCAGATCACAGCCTGTCACGAGCAGCTGGTATCTCCCATGAAGTGCTACAGCATTAAACTGCAGAAGACAACTGTCCTCTCACCCCACAACCTGGTGCCTCACAAGATTTTTTTCCTACTGCTTGAGAAAAGACTGTTTTACCCACCACACACGACAAGTTTCCCTCGCAAAAAGGGAATCCCCCTTTGAAACCACTTCCATCCAAATATATTTTAGAGGTGGCCAACAAAGCATGGCTTGGGTTTATTTAAGTCACAGAGTTTGATTTTGTGCAACTGCTTCTCCTTGTAGGATTTTAATTTTCAAAATATCAGTAGGAGTTACTCATTTATTTTAGGCTTGGAGGAGACTAAAAGCAATACTGCATATGCTGTGAAAGCCCCTCTGCCTGATAAAGGGGCAACACTCCCATATCTTTAAGCAAAGCATTCACTCCCTCCCTCAGTAAACACTGCTCTTACAGAGATAGTGGGAACCACCCTGAATGCTCCTAAGGTCCCCTTTCTCCTCCTGTTTCCTCCACTTAGTCTCAAACTAGTGAAATCAAAATAGCATTGCAACTGATGGTGACCACAGAAGCATAAAACAGGCAGGAAAATAGCTCTGTAAGAACACCCAGGTTCTTTTATATGGAAAAAAAAGAAAGAAAAACTCAGCTTCTCCCTTTTTCAGGCCCAGATAATACCATCACTACACAGAAGCTTCCCTTACAGAAAACTTCTTGGGGACTGTGACAATACAATCTCCTGCAGATGCTGCACGGCTGCAGCTGAGACATCCATTACAGACAACACCTTCACCCAGACTGGGCTGGCACCACAAGATTAATTCACCCAATATGTCTTATTGAAAACTCCTTCCTTAGCAGTTTTAAGATCTGCCTAAATGGAAAAAAAAAATTCAGCCTCAAGAGGTGCCTGGTGCTAGATTTCTCCTTTTTTTGCAAAGTCACATCTAAAATAGAGCTACTTCGCAGAATGAGGCAAGAGGAAGATTCTTTTTTTTCCAGCACATTAAGAGCAGCTCTCTGATATTTTAGAGGACTTGGGAAGTGGGCAAGCAGACAGCCTTTGTGTAAAGCAACAGGGCCCTGCCACAGCTCCAGTGAGGAACTGCTCACCAGAGCCTGAGCAGATGAGCTTTTAGGCTGTGCTCCTTCCTCTACAGCAATGCTACAGCACACAAATGGGCTTTTCAAGTGATTCCTGCTTAACCATGGTGCAGTGGGAGACAGGACAGCACTGCTAAAGTGGGCAGAAGAGAACCTGAATAATTTAACTTCTGCTAATAACAGCAGCGTTACGCCCCACAAAGTGCATTAACTCCATTAGAACATGGACAACGGAAAAATTATTTCCTTTTCGTACTCCTGGAAAAGCTTCTGTTCTTGGCCCTGCAGGAGTTCAATCCAGCTGCCAGCAGGCAGATGGGATTCAGGAAAGCACACCTGAAGTGATGCACGTCACTACAGTCCAGTTTCTGACTGATTCTCCAGTGACAGCAATTGGTCTGCAGCCGGTAAAACCACTGCTCTCCGTACGGCTGCGCACAGCGTCACTCCGGAGGCTGGTGAGGATCAGAATGATGCAGAGCCCAGCAGGTTCCACTCCTCCCAAACACCAAACCATTCACAACAAACTGGGAAAGGAGGAAGTGAATAGTTTCCTGTTTGATGTGATCATTATTTTGGCTGGAGTACCCAAAATATTGCAGAGCAAACAATGTTCTGCCAAAGCAATCAAAATCTGGCACCTGAGGAACTACTGTTCCGGCTTCCCAGGTCTCCCCCCTCTCAGTCCCATTTGGCAGAGGTATTTCTGAAGTAAGAAGCTTCCAGATTACAGTTCCTTCACTTCTACCGTCCCCCCTCTCAGTCCCATTTGGCAAAGGTATTTCTGAAATAAGAAGCTTCCAGATTACAGTTCCTTCACTTACTTGAAAAATTCAGTTTTTTCCTCCTCAGACTTTAGCGTTAAGGTTTTCAGAAAGTTCACAACTTCCAGAAAATCATTCCTAAGCACAAAAACACCGGCTGTCAAGCGTTATTGATGCTTAAACCACCCACAAGTAAGATGGCTGTCAAGCGTGATCCTTATTGATGCTTAAACCACCCACAAGTAAGAGACTGCAAGTGCCCACCCTTCATTTAGCAGACAGAACTGGACAGAAGGACTCAAGATAAATGCCAGTGGACCAACAATGTCAGCATGGGGATGTGACCTGTTACCCAACAGCTGCACCTGCACAGGGCTGCACTTAGCAATCCACAGGAAGACCTGGGCATCAGCCACCTCTGACCACCTTCCTGGGGCAATGAACAGAAGGAAGTGCCACCCAGAGAAGCACTCAGGTGACAGCAGATGCAGGTCTCTCTGGATTACCTCGGAGCCTGCTTTGCTCCAGCAATATCGCTGATGATTTTGTTTTCTAGAGCATTTCCCACCAGTTCCCATGAGCTTGGGGAGATCCAACTGACTGTGTGTGACTAAGGACACGCTTCTGTCACCACCGCTGGCTCTGCGCCTCATTTGGAAGGCTGATAATGATTTCTTAATTTAAGGAGCCTCTTTGACAAAGAGGTAGGGATTAAGTCTGCACTTCCCATCTGATAAGTAACACCTTCAACAAATTAAGATGTTTGCCACAGAAATTGGAGCAGGATATTCCTTTCCTTACCTGAAGAACTCGTGAGACAGTAAGCTGGACAGTGGTGGACGACACTTTGGATCTGGATTCAGCAGCGTACAGTGCAAGGTTTGCTGAAAGCTGGAGAGGATGTCTGCTGAAACTGAAAGCCAGAGCACCCACAGTTAGATTTCTCACTCAACACTGACAAAGCTATGTTTAGGAGCCCTCCACCCTCCCAAAAAACTTAGTTTTAGAAGCTCTATTTGATAGCAAAATTGCTCATATATGTCTAAAAGGGAAGGTAACATTTCCATTTCTCTCCCTAAGCTTCTTGGCTGTTGGGGACCCGAGGAGTGCTACTGTCCTCCAAGAAACTTCCTGCCCCATCTCTGCTAGAAGGCAGCAGCTCTGGCTCTGCTGTGATACACAACATCCATGCACCCACCCCCATAACCCTTGATGAAACACCTGGTAGGTCAGAAACCAAGGGAAGCCCTGACTGTAACTGAGCAGATTTGGGAGTGCTCATGTTTCACAGGCTGGTGACCTCCAGCTGTATCTGACCATGCTTAAATGCAGCAAGAGGGGGATGCAGGAGAAGCTGAAGCCTGTTTTTTAACCCAGCCAACATGAAAAACAACAGCCACAGAACCTGCAGCACATCTGTCAGCTGCAACAGGAGGCAAATGCTCAGTTGACACAGGCAAGGAAGAAGCTACAGAGGCCAGTCAACAGCAACATAAACGTGTCATTCCTTACCCTGATCATTAAGGACTGTCAGGAGGTTTTCCACCATCGTTCCAAAGGCGTAGGCATCCCTCGCGTGCCCATAGCTGTTGGGCAGAATTTTGAAATCTGCAGACTTAAAAAGCCAAAAAAAACCCCAAAAGATCAGCAAAGCAGGACTTTGTGAAATACTTGATAGTTTCCATGAATCTCTATTCCTCCCCCACCATATACGCTCTCAGATTCTTTTTATAGCACCGAAGCTCCACTAAGTACTCTACAAGTAGAATATTATGCTAAAAAAATCTCCACTGGGGAATTTATAGCCCACAGAGCAACTACACCACGCTGAAACAACTCCCCCATGAATGCACACAGCAATTGCAAGTCAACAACCTTCGGCATTTCTATGGAAACAGGTGTTAATTAGAGAGAAAGCAAGCACTCCGTTAAGATAAGCAACTCGTAGGATTCTTAATAGCTGGGAGGTTATTAACCAGTGAGGAAAAAGGAAGGCTGTTGTATGTGAGAGTTACACAACCGTGTGACTGCAGTGATCTGGGCAATCTCAGCAACTACTCTGTAATTTTTGCAAAGCTTTGGTGATTTAGAAGCATTAAAGCTGCAACACGAAGTGTTTGAAAAAATATTACGACAACCTGCTGTCCCACCACTCCTTATTCAGAATTTCACTTCCCTTTGCCCAACACCGTACCCAAAGCAGGGACGGGAGGGAAGCAGGGGAAAAAGGAAGAGGGTAAACCTCAGGTATTATCTAACAGCCACTTCCTCCCATTCAGCCATGAGGAAATAAAACATGTGAATGAAAACTATTTTCCAAACATGGCGCTTTTATTTGTTGCCACCAAGAAGTTCCTCCAGCAAGTGATGTTACTCACCATCTCCTCGCAAGGGATGCACGACTGGTCTCGTACCGACTTGACATGACACAGGAACTGGAAGAAAAGGGGAGACATGAGTTGCCTCCATCACTTACGCGTGCCAAGCATAAGTGCTCCTGCTCTGCCCCTGCCCCTGCCATCCAGGGCAGGCTGTGCTATGCTCTGCCCGGAGGGGAAGCACAAATGGACCAGGTGTGAAGCACCAAGGTGACAGAAAGGAACTTGAGGGCATCACACCCAACTCATCTCTTCAAGTCTTCAGTCCTATCATCCCACATGATCCAACTGGACGGGGAAAGGACTTCATGAGCTTTAGCAGTCAGTTTTTACTGCCGTGCTCTTTGCATTGTTGTGCACTGGTTGTGTGTCTGCCTGCTCCCTTCTGAAAGGTGATACACACCAGGGACACTCAGTCGTGAAAGATTTGTAGATCCTCTGGGAGAAAAGGCAATACACATTTCCAGCACAGTGCCAGGCTGCAGCAGTGACTCTGCACAGCACGCAGCACCAATCAAACCAGGAATTTTTATGCTAGGATCAGTAACAAGCAATGAAGATGCCAGCAGCAAAAGCTAAAGAGTCCTTTAAATTATTTTTCTTCTTGTTTCATTTCAACCTGGATCTTCCTGCTTCAAGGTAAAGCTTTTTTTTTGTTTTAGTGCATTTTCAGTTTGTTCTTAACAGTCCAGAGGAGCAAATTTCTCACTCTTTTCAGTCTTAACCTACCCTCCAGCCAGCAGTCTCCCTTAGAAAAGTGGCTGCTTTTTGGCTAATGGGGAATCAGTTTGTGTTTGTGTAGACAAACATAGTTTGTCTTACAGTTTTATAGTACAGTGTCCTCAGAGCAAAGATTCAGGTCAGAGCTGGAAGTGAGCCAACACAATTAATATTAAATGCAAGTAACTGGAAGGACTTGGGCCCTCACATCCATAGGTGGCCACCTTCAGCAGGCCAGGAGCCCTGGCCTGGGCATCAGAGGGTGTGCTTTGCTCGGGTCTTACCTCTGGGGTGGCTTCATTGAAATTACAGACTGTTTCCATTCCTCCCAGCTTCCAGTGCCCATCCTCACTTACAAACACAGATGATAAACAGACGTTGTTATGCGTTAGGTTTCCCTAAAACATAAAAAAAAATAAATAGGATAACAGGCTTGGGGATAGATGAGGACGGAAAAATCTTAATCAGGGCTAATTAGGTGCTGCGAGGTGCTGAGGAAAAGCAGCCAAAAAGCACACAGTTCTACAGGTCCTTCAGGATTTTGAAGATGACTGGTAGGTATTTGGCAGAAGGGCTGGGGTTTTAGAAGAGACAAAGCTCTAATTGTCACAGCCCTTGCAATGCAACTGTAAATCTCGAGAAGACATCCAACTATGAACACAAAGCCCAAAAGCTACACTCTGAGCTGGGATTAAACTGCAGGCCTGGGCAAACACACAGTGCCAAACCAGGGGAACGGTGACACCAATCTCTGACACGTGGCAACAGCTGTAAATAAATGCCAAGGCCAAACAATCCATTTCCCTCAAGTAAGAAGCACTGCAAGAAGATGTCAATTCATAACTTGGGAACTGCTCCCTTACTCCACAACCCACAGCATTTTCAATTACTGTTCCTCTTACAAAGCTGCCAATGATTTTAGCAGGTTTCTGTCTTCTTGTGAAAAACCAGGAATGAGACAGTCATCCAGGCAAGGCCAGATACAAGGCTCTACTGTCACGTTTCGTCTGGCTCCCCTCAAAGCCTGACAACTGCTGCTGGTGGTACCTACCCTGTCATGGAGGAAGATGAGTGCCAGCAACACGTCGTAGATCCCTGCGCAGATTTCTGCAGAAGAGAGGGTCTCCAGGACCATCTCCAAAGGCTTCACACGTTCTGTCACCAGGTGGATCCCATTTGCTTCCACGGTACAAGAGAGGAAGCGCAGAAGGCAAGGGTGGCGCAAGGTTTTCAGGTGCTTCCAGAAACAAGAGACATTTGTTAAATCTCATCCAAGGCATCTCTTTTGGCTGCAGAGCTTCGCTTTGTCCTTTCAGCCACATTTTTTGCTTGCATTTAGATAGCCCAGCCCTGCCTCTCACCACGCACTCAGCACACTCACTCCCTCACTCATTGCAGAACCTGTTATAACCCATCTACATAAAGTCTTACACGGAATAAACACAGTATTCTGACTAGGGTCCACCTAAGAAAGACTCTCTGACTTAGATCTGCAGGACAAAAAAAATTTTTTCACTGAAAGGGTTATCAGCCATTGGAATGGGCTGCCCAGGGAGGGGGTTGAGGCACCATCCCTGGAGGTGTTCAAAAGACGGGTTGATGTAGTGCTGGGAGGTATGGTTTAGTGATGGTGATGCTTCTTGTTTGTTGTGGGGGTGTCTATTTTTGTCAGTTAGGTTGACGGTTGGACAAGATGATCTTTAAGGTCCCTTCCAACCTAGAAGATTCTGTGATTCTGTGACAAGACCAGGACTCTGCACAGTAATGCAGGTACTGCTATCCAAACACCACCTCCCACCACCACTCACACTGTGCAGCACACGATGAGCTTCGTGGCTGCTGACCCCCTTCTTCCCCCTGCACGGCAGCTGTTGGTGGCCAGGGTGCTCACGTTGTGCAGCACACGATGAGCTTCATGGCTGCTGACCCCCTTCTTCCCCCCTGCACGGCAGCTGTTGGTGGCCAGGGTCAACTTCGACCTTTTCTCCTGTCCTTACTCCCGATTAATTAACAGATTCCCATCCCTCCCAAGACAAAAAGAGGGATAGCTCTCACAAGCCTATCCCAGGCACAGTCTCTACAGTACCTTGGCAGCTTTATTAACCTTATCTTCGTTCTCTCTCTTGTACACAAAGACCGAAGCACGTTTGCCATCTTGTAGCACGGCCGGATAAATGGTGTGTCCGGTTGGCAGCGTGAACGGTGGCTCCTCTAGCGCGTAGCTCTTCAAAGCGCTGTTCTCCGAGCCCATCACTTGCAGAGTTTGGCCCGTGTAGAGGTTCCCTCTTGATGACAAACAGGCCTCCGGGTGAAGGAAGATCTTTTTCAGGCAGATTCAGTCCCAGTGGGCACTGTGCACTTCGCCTTCAGAGCATTTTCTGAAAAGCACGAGACAGCCATGATGAACCTCCTCCCGCCAGCATCCTCTCCTTCAATTTCAGGACAAGAATAAAATACCCAAAAAATCCATTATAAGGGAAACTGAGAGTCCACACAAGTGTTCAGATCAACAGGTGAGCAGCTCTCTAGCTGTGGAGCAAGGGCTGCACTGGCACCTGTGCCAGCATCACCACCAGACATCACCAGCTCTGCCACAGATGAATGGACAGCACGGCATCCACAACTAGTCCTTCACCTGGCTACTAAACCTAGAATCCACCAGACCCACGACCCACCAATACCCCCAGCCGTGCAGACACCTACTCCAGAGGTTTAATTCAGACTAAACCCAGTCAGGAACTGTGACTGCCACTGCCTTGGGGGACAAGAAGTCCCCAGCCATCTTAAAAGCAGCCATTCCTCAGTTCTCCAAGCCACAGAAGGCGCCAGTGAAGCTATAGCCAGGTAACCTCCTCCAGCAGCATGCTCTCTCTCCCCATTACCTTCTCTCCATCTGACAAGTATTCCATCTGCCTGCCAACCCTTCCTTCCTCCCTCCCACAGCCTCTGTCAGGAAGAGGCTGACACAGATTTTTGTGCTGCTTCCTCACAGACAAAACTGGTGAAACAAACACGCTGATTGCAGGGGCTCTTTCAGAAAACACTGACCGAGCACCCGCTCTGTCATCAGGCTCGTGATCACAGGCTACGGGTGAGACTGAACACCAGTCTGCAGACAGAGGTTCCCAAACCACCTTCAGTATTGAGAGGAGAGAGCAAAACCTGTTTTCAGGAAAAGAGGGGGAAAACATTGCCCACCCCCATGCATTTTTTGCATCTAAAGAATCGCTTTACGGCTGGGCATTGCTCTGCATTCTCTGCTCTTTTCAGCTTTGCCAGCTCTACTGTGGTTATTTTTCAGTCAGATTTTGCACAGGACACCTGAAAGTATCTACACTGACCTAGCGGCCCACGCTCCTCCAAATCCACACGGACATATCCGTCAGTTACAAATTTGGCTTTGGGGATGCCCCCCAGTTCAGAAGCACGGTATCACCAGAGTCACTCACAGAACTGCCCCCTGATGCCACCGTACCACCACCAGCTCCAAACGACCATCCCTGGCTCCAGGTAATGGCCTCTCAGGAGGAGCCCCGCAACTCTCGGTGTCAAACGCCCAACGCCTTCAAGCAAGCAGCCTCCAACAACCAAGGGGCAGCAGCAGCCTGTGGAAACAGGGGCCATGCTTTTGAGGAGCACGTCAGCTTCGCCAAACCATGGCTTGGCTTCTTCTCTTTTTCACAGCACTCCCAAACGTGCCGGCCACTGAAACTCCTGCAGGCAAAAGCATCTGCGCAGGTGTACGCCCAGGTGTGGCTGAAGCCCATGGAGGAATTATTTTGACACTAAAATAAAGTGACAGTCGCACTACAGTGTGCAAGGACCACACACTACCACTCTTATTGTGGGTTAAGAGCATCAAGAAGAGTGTGACCAGCAGGTCAAGAGAGGTTATCTTGCCCTTCTACTCTGCCCTGGTGAGGCCCCATCTGGAATACTGTGTCCAGTTCTGGGCTCCCCAGTTCCAGAAGGACAGGGAACTGCTGGAGAGGGGACAGCAGAGGGCCACAAAGATTATTAAGGGCCTGGAGCATCTCCCTTATGAGGAGAGGCTGAAGGACTTGGGTCTTTTTAGTCTGCAAAAGAGAAGGCTGAGGGGGGATCTGATCAATGCTTATAAATACTTAAAGGGAGGGTGTCAGGAGGATGGGGCTGGTCTTTTTTCAGTGGTGCCCAGGGACAGGACAAGAGGAAATGGGCACAAACTTGAGTATAAGAAGTTCCACCTAAACATTAGGAGGAACTTTACTGTGAGAGTGGCAGAGCCCTGGAACAAGCTGCCCAGAGAGGTGGTGGAGTCCCTATTTCTGAAGACATTCAAAACCCGCCTGGACACGTTCCTGTGCAACCTGCTCTGGGTGGACCTGCTCTGGCAGTGGGGTTGGACTAGATGATCTCCAGAGGTCCCTTCCAACCCCATGTGATTCTACGATTACCCACACTATAACCCTTTAATATCTTATTTTCAATAAACTGTAAACATGAGCATTAGCAACGCATGGTGCACCTTGAGACAGAGCGGAGCTCCCCAGGGAAAGACAGAGGGAACATTAGATGCAACGCGTGGTGCACCTTGAGATGGAGCGGAGCTCCCCAGGGAAAGACAGAGGGACCGGTCGTTAAGAACAATTTGGGCTTGCTACCATAAACTGTGTTAGAGTTGGAATTTCAATGTAGCTTCTTTATGGAACGATAACCCTCTGCACACGAGGCATCTACCCCAAACACGTACACCGAGCCCTGTCACTCCACGGCCAGGAGTGAGGTGGTTCCCCACCGCCTCCTGTGCCAGCAGAACCTCCTGGAAGCCGCCATTGGAGGCTCTGAAGGGGCTGGGGTTTCCCAACAGGGCAAGTACAGGTGGCCAGCGGGCACCTTGCGCAAGCAGCGCCACGGAGGCGGCCAGGCGGGCGGGCAGCAGGCAGCAGCCTCCCCGGGAGAAGGGTATCATGTTGTCCCACCTCCCGAAGGACAGCTCAACCCTGGACACGGGGCGTGGGGAGAAGCGCCTGCATTTCATCAGGGAGGGCTCCCCGAGAAACCCCCGGGTGACACCACAGCACCGCTGCCGGCCCACAGCCACCCAAAACAACTACCGGTATTTGCTTTTTTTTTATCTTTTTTTCCGCCTTTTTCCCCCCGGACAGCCAGCTTTTTGCCGTCACCGACCCCCGCACCGTCACCATTCCCCGAGCACCTGCCCGGGGCGAGGCCTGAGGCACCGGCTCCAGCCCCCGCCGCCCACCGGCCCAAGCCGGGGGCCGAGTGCCCGTGGGTCGGGGCAGGCCGAAGACAGGCGGGGGACACCGACCCCGGGTCCCGGGGACGACCGGCGGGCTGGGGAGCGGAGCCCCGGTAACCCCCCTTCACTGCCTCCCCCTTCCCCTGCCAGCCCACCCTCATTAGCGGCCTCCGCCATTAACCCCTGCCACCTTTCACTACCTGCCCCCCGCCATCAGCCCCTGCCACCTCACGCCACCGGCCCCTGTCA